GTGTCTGGTTACTTGAGTTTTACAGTATGTCTATTTAACAGCACCAAATCTTCTAGTATTCCTGTGTTACTTTGACAAGTTTTGAGTAAAGAGAATGTCCTGATTTCTTCTTTGTCCATTTTACTTTAATTTTCATCTTAAATCATTCCCTCCATCCAGAGTTGCTCTGATGATCCAAATGGCACCTGCTGGTTTGCTTTAAGCTTCTTAAACCTTCTTGTCCCCAGACATGAGATAACATGAGATAATCTTTCTTTTACATCATACTTACCACACTTTTTTCTTTTTTCAAAGACGAGTCCCAAAGGGTTCATAAATGCAGATAAGTTACCTCTATATATGCCAGTTTTCTTAGTCTTTTTGTATTGCCCTATGCCCCATCTATTCTTTTACACAAAAGCAGAACCAAATGCAAAGAGCATGTAATATAATCGGAATGTACTTTATTTGTTCTTTACAGAAGTGAAAAGGTGGCAAGTAAAATTAGATCACTGAGTTCATCAAGGTAGCGTTTTTACAATCTGGATTCTAAATAAATTATTAATCCTTGATTATTTCTTTTTTCCAAATTTTATTTTGGAAATGTCTTATGTATTTATACAGTCATCACTGAGATGCAAATTGTTTGCCAGAGTTACAGATTAAAGAAATTCACAGCAGATGAAAAGAAGATTCAGTATATTTAGCAAAGCATGTGGTCTGTTTAGAAAGGCTCATCTCTGATACTGTTGAAAGTCTAGTAAGTCAGTTCAGCACAATGAGGCCTTGCAGTGCGCTCTATTTCTCATCTTAGCTGCAAAAGGTATTCAACTATTTAATACAATTCAAAAAAGATACCACCTTTTCTTAAAGAGCATTAAAATATTGGCTTAAGCAAACTAGTTTTGTTGTCACTTTAATTTCAGTGAATTAAAAGCACCAATATTAATATATACAAGGCTGAAACTCAGTATTAGCTTAGTATTAATAGTAATTTAATGTGGATAATATTATTGCCAAGACTGTTTGGCAACCCCTGTAGTGAAAAACTAGAATTTGGGAAGCTGTAAATGCAGTTTCATGTTCACATTTAAATGACATTCTTTACATGCTTTCATGTCTAACCCTGTTTTAAAATGGTATTTAATTTTCTGCATTTTCTTTCTACTCTTCTATATATAAATATATTAATACGTGCTGAGAATTAAGTTAATGGTCTCAGTACAACATTTATTATCTAGAGTGTAAGTATTGAATTTTTTTTAGTATATATAAGGGTGTGGCTTTTGTGGTTTATATGTAGTTCTACATTAGACATTTCATGAAGTCATTGAAAGAGAGCTCAGAGACCTTTTGAAACTCTGTGCAGATGGAGTATATGTATTCTGTACTGCCATGATACAGCTGTATCTTCACTCTGTTACTCAAAAATATGAAGCATGGAAGTGTGATGCTTTTGTCATCTTTCTGCACCCTTTAGTATGTTGTGCAGTCTCACAGTATAATCAATTCTTGTGGGCAACACAAAGAAGAATTATTTTCTTGGACTTTCAGAAAATACTACAACTCAAATATGGCTCAAACAGAATTTTATTTCTTAAAATTAACTCTGTTTTCTCAAACATCTGTTCTAGAAGCTTAAAATAAAAACAAACAAAACTCTTACCTGTTAATATAGTCTTCCATTCATTGTCTCATAAGTAATAGGAAAGGAAATAATATTTGAGAAAACAGAAGAACAATTTCATTATAGATTGAACTATGCTATTCAAGATATAAAAAAACCTACGTGAGTCTTAGAAGTGCAGTATGGAAGAAATTCTGACTTGCTTTTTTCTATAACCTTGCCAGCAGTCAACCTGCAATTTCAGGAAAGCTTCAATTATAGTACACATTTCAGTCTCAAAAATTGAAACTCTGTAATGTAAATTCATCTTATGATTTCTAATCACTTTATATATATCATTCCCAGAAGCCTAACAACTACTAAATTCAAGTGCTTGCCTAATGCAAAACACTTGCTAAATTTAAAAAAAAAAAAAATTCTACGCTGCATAATAAATCAGAATTATTGAGCTCTGTCCAACTTTCTTTAAGAAGTAATTTTGCCTAGAAGTTCTTGCGAAACAATTGAGAGTATATCAATAAATTACTTAGCAGCCAGTGGAAATTCAATACAAAATCTAAATGCTGTGTTTCATTTTTTATTTTTGAGAAATTACTTTGTGTTACTTTAATGTTGAAGAAATAAATAGGTGTGTCTCCATAAATTAATGTGTCTCCAGAATTATACAGAAACATGAAAAGGGATGAATTTTTACAAAATGCTCTCAGTTCTTTTATACACACACACAGACACACATACACACACACAGGTTATATGTATATATGTATGTATAGATATATATAAAAAAAAAATAAAGCAGTTATGTCATTAAGCACAGTAAGAGAAATTTATCCTCAAACTCTATTAACCTGATAAAGAAAACACAAAACAAAATATCTTGCTGCTATTTTCAGTATTTTGTCATTGGTATGTGTATTGGGAAAAAAATGTGTACGCCCATACTTGATTTCATTAATACAGTTGTTTTACTTCTAAATGTTTTTATCTTTTTCCATTGTATTTTAAACAAGCTTTTGCTAGAATAGAATAGTGAAATACTTCTACTTAATAGATGTTACAGTTCAACAGTCACCTGAAATGATTATTGTCACTCCTTTTTCATCCCAGCCATACATCTCTGTACTTCAGGAAGATTGAAGTTAATTGAAAACCGAGAGGCTTCCAGTTTCTTAAATTACTTGTGATATCAGTGATTAGGTCATTATTCAGTGTTTAACTGTTCTATGTATTTTCTGATAAGTCCACTGTTTAGTTTTAGTGATGCCTAGAACAAACTATTTTTCTTTTTATTAATTAGCCTAGCATATAAAAAGAATATACAATGCAGTATGTCCTAGTTAGCAGTGGTGTTGATCACACAAACTATCAGATGTCTGACATTTTAGTCAAAATATATTTTTAGAGTTTTGCTATAGAACAGTAACAATCTTTTAATTTTATTTTATTTTTTTTTTTTTTTTTAGTTCAGGATAACAGCTTAATATATAGCTATAATAAAGAGAACCTATGAAGATGTTATGGTCCTCCATTCTATTTGGTTGGGAGTTGGGGTTCTTTTGTTTCTTTTCCCATTAGTTTAAGCTTAAATGATAAAGATCAGTTCATTGCAATTTCAGACTCTGGTAAGAGAGGTATTGAATCATCCCACTAAAACCAGAAGTATAATTCCATAACTGAATAGGGTTAGCCCTGTACTATCATGGAATCTGACTCTTCTTTTTTCTAAATAATTCTATCCTCTCATAAACAAACCCATGCTCTGTACAGAAAGACATGGGAGAATCCTTAATAATCAGTTTGGTTTTCACAATGTACAGTGTCTGCTGACCAATAACATTCTGCCAAGGTACATATTTTTTTAATGCTCTGTACATGATAGTAATTTTTTACTTAAGCCTCTTGAAAGAGACCCACTTGATGATTAAGCTGTATATGGTGGTTTTTTGGTTTTATTGTTTCATAACATGAGTTACAAGTTGGAAACACAAATTAAGGATCTGTTTCTTAAGGTATTTTTTTCCTGTTTTGGCTGCTTGTTTATGTACAAACTATGAAAAAATAGATCTTCATATTGCTTAACATACAGCTAAATTATTTGTGTGTGCATATGTACAAGCCCGTATTTTGCTAATACACAACTTTATGCATTCACAGTGTCCCAGCTTTCTCATATGCATTAAGAGTTTTAGTGCAAAAGTATGTATACCTATTTTATGAGGGACTGTCAATGATTGTAAGTAACAGAACTGCTGAAAGTGTGAAATTTTGCTTCATTTATTTCTCAGTAGTTTTGGTTAGTAATTATATGACCATATGATAAATCACATTGTATAGCATTCTAGTATCTTATTTCTTAAAGCAAAAGTAGTGTAAATTTTGGATTTTTTTTAATAATATTTATATATTACAAAGATGTCAAAAACATGCTTTGAATAACTATTGTATGTTATGTTTTGAAGATTGATATTTTACATTTTCACTACATTTATAGAAAAGAAGAGTTATTTTGTCAGGATCTAATACTTTAAAAAGAGAAATGTGTATATAAAAATTTTAAACAGAGCAGTGCTTTTTTGATATGTTCAAGAATTAATGTTAAGCGTTTGTATATTATTTAGAAAACGTGATCAATAAATATGACTCTTAATTCTTTTTTGTGTTTATTTTGAACACAGGTCTGATGATAAGTTATTAATCTTTGCTCAACTAAATGAACGTTTTTAACACTAATCATAAATATATTGTAGTAATTTGTTGTGAAGGTATTAGTTGCATGTTCATCTGTCATGAGATTGATGTTTACATTTTTTCACCTGCCTCTTGATTAAAAAATATCAATGAATATTTTAACAGTTAGTATATTACTAAAAACTCAGTAGCTTCGGTGTAATTGTAAGATATGGAACACAGTTTGCTGGCTATAGTCCGTGTTATAGAATGGTGCATTATAAGGTGCCAAAGTAAATGTGTCTAACTTCTTTCAGACATTGGCCCTGTTTGTTTGTAGACTGATAACTGTTTCTAGTGTGCTCATTGAACTTGCTGGAATTTTTGTTTACTATAGTCTTCATTTTCCCCAAGAGGAGGAGAGAGGAAAGAATATATTCCTCATGTGGTCAGCATATTTTTGAGTATTTATGTGAGTTCACCATCTTGATTTCAAGTCATGAATTTGTTTTTACATGCATAAGCATGCATATTTACATGCATTATTTATCCAATTGACTTTAAATTCCATTAAGTTCCAATGAGTAGGAGAAAGATTTTTGTCTTAGGCATTTTTTATTTATTTTAATTTTCTAGTTATGTTACTTTTGTTGGTTTATTTATTTTTTTAACTGTTCAGTCTAAGGCTTGTAAAGGTTGATTTGCTCCTGAACTGCTTTGTTCCCAGACATTGCCATCTTCCCCAACTACCACCAAGTCCTCTCCATCTGATCCCATGACCACCTCCAGAGCCAATCAGGTACAGTATCATCCTACCATCTACACCATACTTTTCACGGGTGACAGCTTGCAAACTGGAGAAAAAAAGATATGGTGGGTTAAGGATTTATTCGTTCATTCACATATATACACCCATAACCATAGATAATCTAACTCTTGCTAGAAATTGGTAAATTGAATGGAAAACATTTTTCTTCTTTTAATTTGTTTTGTTGTCTTTTTTAAATCTCTGATGAAAGCAACATATCCTGTGAAACAGTCTTTTTTAAAATTTGACTAATAAATACCAAGGATACAGGCTGATGTGTCTGTAGACAGAATAACTATTGGTATATGTATGTTTATGTATATATGCACACACGTATTTACTTCCTGGATCATTCATAAATTATAATGGAGTAACCCCTAAAACCATGCTTTATTAGCTGGATATCAACCTAGGAATGGCAAACAGACTTCTTTGTTTATTTAATTTAAGAATTTTGAAATATGTTTGTGGACAGTAACATAGGGACATTATTTAAGTAGTGTATGTAATAAAAAATAGATTTGAAATGAAAATTTACTGATGAAGAATGAAGTAAAATTAAGTCTAAAAGCATACTAAACAAATTTAAGGTTAATTCATGTCTTATTTTTAAATGCATAAATTGTGCTTTTAGCAGTATTTTAATTACACTCATGTATTTCTCTTTTAAGTGGAAAAAGAATATTCATTATGTCCACAAATCATCATACTGTATATCTTTTTGCCTTCCCTATGAAAATTGTTAACGTTACTTCATACCATGCTCTTTAGAACTGATTTATGCTTAATAAATACCTTATTTTTTTAATGTACTGTTAAATTTAATGTATTTTGTGTTCAAATAATGTAAGTATTCAGTATTTGCTAAGTTTTTAACACACAATCTGTTTATTTAAGTTAGCAGAATGCTTCTATCAAATCTTGCACAAATTAGATCAAATACTAGAAAAGTGGTTTTTTTCACAAGAAGCTAATTGTCCCTGGAAGTTAACATTATTATTAATTACTTATCCTTTGATATTTTGTGAACTGCTTAGTACTTGCTGGCTGTATGAACAAACAATTTAACATACAACAGTACACAAACATATTAAAGCAATATATCTTTGATCAGCACATGACTAGCTGTTGAAAGGGATGTCTAATACAGAAAGTAATGAAATTTAGGGAGAAATTGTACAGATAGAAGAACTACTAAGAAAAATATAAATTGCGATATCCCTCACTTCAATTTGAAAGCCGCCTTCATCAGCCTGCTTCCATTCCAGCAACAGTTATTTGGCTTCATCTTCATTAAATGACAAAGATAAAATCTTGGCCAACAGCTAGGGATATTTTATGAACACTCTGTTCAGCCTTTATTCTCTCTTAATTTTAGTATTTTCCGTATTGTAATTAGAATTTTTTTAAAATGTTGAGTGCACAGATCTTTTTTAAAAGTGTTCTTACTACTTTCCTGTGTCTTCTTTCCCACTTTTTTTTTTCTTTTGAATTATGAGTATACACTGATGATCATTATTTGTAGAAAAAGGAAGAGGTGCTTTGATTTACAGGAAATACTGTTTGAGCATGCTGTTTAGTTAGCATCAGAAAAGTACTACTTTGCATCTGTTCTATGAATTTTGAATTATCAAAATTATAGTTTAGTGTATAAACTTTAAATTACTTTTTTAAGAGCTGAAAATACTGATTTTATAGGGAGTTATTCTGTGAGAATATTGTCAAGTGATATAGCTGAATATATAAACTAAGGGAAATGTATGCTTTGTGTCTTGCCTATATCCCACATTACATCTTTTAATGCATTTTACTCATAACCTGTGCTCAATTCAGATTTCATATAAATAATCAAGATCTCTTTTGAACAGCATTAAAATTATATATATGAACAGTAATGACTTCGTTCAGTGACTTTTGGAACTGCTTTTATCATGAGCCCTTGACATTCCTACTGGTTTGTAATTATTTTAAGCCCCCTAGTATTTCCTAGTGGTTTCTAGCCATTCCAGCAGGGAGCACAAAGCAAATAAAGCAGTTAAGGCCTTTTTGTTCATTCTAGTGATAAGTGACGTAGCTGGCAATTGTTCCCAGACTGTAGTAGCGATTAGCATTCAGCACCAGTGTATCGACAAGTATCTGCACTGCGGCTGTCACACGAAAATAGGTTCCAACACAGTAATCTCAAACCTGTCAGTACCCGTGTAAGTACCCAATCAGAGAGTATTAGAGAACAACAATGAATGTTTGTTTTGATATATGGCTGTGTAAGATGATTCTCAATAGAAAAGAACCATTCAGGTATGGGTTTTCTCACAAGATATTACGATAACAGGAAAGTCAGAAAATTCAGTGTTAAGATGTAAGATAAATTCACAGTACACATTCTTGGGTGGATATAGTAGCATATCAGGCTTAAGATAATTTAATTTTCTATAATATTTTAACTATGACAAGACAGTATTTTATATTAAAGATTAGTAAGGTGATTAAGCCAGGTTTAAGCAATGCTTAATGCTGGGTTGCTGTTGGAGTAGATTTTTAAACTGGGTTGGAGGACTCCACATAAATCATTGCAATTAGAGAACTGTCAAGGATGTGTATTGATGAGCATACCTGATGCGATCCTTCCTGCTATACGAGCATGTCGGTTGTATTCTCCTGACAGAGCTTGCATAGTGGGAAGAACAATTTCTAGGCATGCTTTTTACTGCAACAGGAAAATAGCTCTGCCAACAGAGGTCAGAGGAAGCTGGGCAGGAAATTTGGCTTCTATTATGTCTTCCTTTTAATGACTCACTTTGCCTCCATTCAGATGAGATCATAACACCTTTGTATGCAATTTTGGCTTTTGTTGAATTGTTGGTTTTTGAAAAATCCAGTGCTCATGAAACTACTCATTATATGATTCTCAGGAAGATAGTCTCTAAAATGTCTTACTGAAAGAAAACAGTTTCTTCAGAACTGTCATGTGTTGTGTTATACCGAATTGCCCATATGCAACAGAAACCTCTGTGTTGAAGTGTTTTTTTCTTTAGTTCTTTGTTCTAGGAAGATATACATCTGTCAATATTACTGTTATAAAGGTCTTGTTTATTTTTGCAGTAGAACTTCCTTGGGCCTTTGTTCACATTAAAAATTCATGCATTGCAAACTTCCCAAGGAAGAAAGAACCAAAGAGGTAATAGAATTAGGGATATTTCAAATAACTTTTTTTTTTTTTTTTTAACCCTCCTGTCTGCCTGTCACTGAAAAGAACTCAATCTTTCTGTACTTTTAAACTGAGAGCTTCTGTGTTACCCTCTTATGAACTTTGTCAGAACACTGGCAGTTAGCTACAGTGGTGAAACTCTTCTGCTAACGCCCCTGGAGCTGGCAGAATAAAGCTTTACTTTTATTTACCAGAAGGTAGAAATCAATTTTACTTTTCCACAGTACACTCCAAGTGGGAATTTAATCTCAAAAGTGATGAATAACACCATAAATATCATACAAAACATGCCTGCTTTTCTTCTGTAGCACATTGTAAAGGTGTGAGTTTTAATACTTATTTTAACAGTTAAGTGACGTTAGACAAATACTTCTATAATTAAACTGTTTACATATTTTCTTTTGTTTACAAGATTTTTTTCTTATCTGCTTGATTTATTGATGTTACTATTATTTTAGAGGGAGAAACATGAGTGATATAAACCTAAGCTTTGTAATTCTCCTCAGTTTATTTGTACACCTGTAAATGCAGTTGCCATACTTGCATGTTTCCTTCTCCAATCCTCCCTTTTTCCACAAGATTGATACTACTGCTGACCTTTACTACTGGCTGTAAGAGAATAAAAGGCCACAACACACATTCCCACTTACAAATGTGTCAGGAGAGTGATGGGTAGGAGTCCTTTCCCCTTTACTTGTAATTCAGATAGGCTTAAGCTCAGTAATGTGATAAAATTCATCATTACAAGTTTTGTGTCATGTATAAACCTTCATTTATTTTTACTTTTTTAATGCATCATTTTTTTTCCTGTGGCATTTGCATTTTTTACAGTTATACATTCTACTTTGCTTCTTTGTTGTTCCACCTGAAGCTCTTGTTTTATCATGTAGTACAGTGTAATATAAACTTTGTGGAGTGCAGATAGGTGTAGGATTTGTTCATTCAGTCCTCCAGGTTTACAGTTTTTTTGAGCATATCTACATCATCTCATTGCCACAATATTTCTAATAAATAATACTTTTCAACCTTTTTACATGATGGGACTGAGCCAGTTTTCTTGCAATCGCCTGTACCCAGCAGGTACAGCACAAGCATGTGGTTGTTTGAATCTTGGTATTAGGAATTTGTACTTTTAGCTTACATTATCTATTTTACGCAAATTGTGTAGATTGCAATGGAATATAATAGTACACATATAACTAGAGATTGGGAGATTAATTGGTATTTAATTTGTAATGATTGTTGTAGATGGTCTCCCTCTTTCTGACTTTAAAGAATAGTCCTATTCCTGCCTGTAAAATGACTTGCAGAAGTATAATCTTTTCATTCCTGATATAGAGAGGTAGAATCTAAAAACAGAGGCTGTCTGTAAAGCATACTGACAGCTTTTAAAGGGTTGATGAACTCATCACTTACATTAAATATATATTTTGTTGTGGGAGGTGGAACAAGAAATAGGAAAAGAAGCTTTGTTTTAGTCTTCTATTATCGTTAGGACATGGAATTTTAAAATATGTATAATATCCAACTTCAAATGATGAAGTTTTTATCAGTAGATTAATCTTAAAGTACAAGTAGTAAATTTTAATGATGATCCCAGAATACTAGATAGCTGTTGTAGTCCATTGAGATACTATATTTGCCTTTGACAATTTGATGTGAGGGTTATTCAAGATATCCTGTCTCTGATATTTTAAATGCAGTATTCATCTAATTTTAATTCCCTAATTTTAATGTAATTTCTTACAGTGGTATTGAGAAAAATCTGTTTTCTTTTTGGGTC